TGTTTCGCTTTTGCATACATAGGAAGTGATTGAAAGGTCCATGGCCTGGGTCAGATGCACCTTAGACCTCAAGGTGACACGTTTACTTCTTATCACTTTAAAGAAGTCTTTTACAATGGATTTGCCCAATGCAATCGACCTTTTGATTCTCGACTACTGCTTCCACAGTTGATTGTGGGACCAAGTAAAATGAAATTCGGGGCCAGTTCAGTCTCTTCTTCATGAGCTAGCTTACTGATCCAGTTGTTGCCTTTATGTTTTGGGCTCAGACCTACTGCGGGTTATAGCCTTCATCAGCAAGTGCTTCTCCTCCTCTTCACAACCAGTACGCAAGGTTGTGTTATTTGAGGATTATAGAGTGTTAAGAAGCGTCTTTCCCATCCTGATGCAGGGTTCTTCTTCAAATATTCCAGATTTTGATTTATTTGCTTAGCGTACAGATCGAGTAAGTGTGGTGAGGGCATGCAATCCCGATGCACATGTTTCCTGACTTTAAACCATACAGGTTCTGTTCAGTTTAACGGACTGCCTTTTGGGTTAGGCGCAGATTCCATGTGTGCACAACTAAGGGCTCTGGAATTCTCATCCTTTGCAATGTTCATCATAATTCATTATGAGTCACACAGCCGAGTGCCTTTGCATAGTCAGTTAAATAAGGGAACATCTTTCTGGCATTTTCTGCCCTCCGCTAAGATTCATCTGACATCAGCACTGGTGTTCTTCATTTCGGGGCCTCTTCTGAATCCAGCTTGAATTTCTAGCAGTTCCCTGTTTATGTACTTCTCCGACCTCTTAAACATTACCTTCAGCAAAATTGTACTTCTATGTGAGACAAACGAAATTGTTTGATAATTTTCACAATCGGTTAGATCGACTTTCTTTGGGATGAACGCGCAGCTAGATCTTTCCTAGGTTGTTGGTCAGTTGGCTGTCTTTTAAATCTCTTGGCATGGGCAAATGAGTGTTTCCAAAAGTCATCCCCGCCCGTATTTTGTCAGGGCCTGGGGCCTTGTTCTTTGCCAATGCCTTCAGTGCAGCTTGGACAGTTCCTTCAGTACCAATGGCCTTTCATCTTTTGCTGCCTCCTGAAATGGTTGAAGGTTCAGAGTAAAAGATAATCTATTTACTCACTTTCTATCTGATGGACTTTGAACTGTTTCACAATGGTTTGGCTTACCAAACACTGTATGAACCATCCTTATGTAAATATCTTTGTGTTCGTGTGTGAGCATTATTGTAGAATTGCTGAGTTAAAGAGAATGCACATTATAAATCATAAAGCCAGGCTAAATTGATTCCAGGGAGGGTGTATCAGTTTACAATCCACCCCAAAGGCAGAGGTGGGCCTGCTTCCCCACATATTTATCAATTCTAATATTAATCACGTCTGATAAATCTAATGGGAAAATCTTATTCATGTTGAAGAGGTTTTTCTGGATATGGGGATGGATGAGCTGTTAGTTTTCTGTTTGTAACCTTTATCCCATTTTTCTTAGTCTTTTTTAAAAAAATAGATCTGTGCATCCATTCTGGGAATGCTGATGGTGTAGTGGCTTATGCCTTAGGCTGCTAACCATAAGGTCAGCAGTTCAAACCCACCAGCTGCTCTGAGGAAGACATGCGCAGAACAGTTTTGCTCTCTCCCAGGGGGTTGCTGTGAGTTGGAACCAACTTGATAGCAGTGAGTTGGGTTCTTCTGGTGCATCCATTCGCATGTTTTAGGCTGAAAATAATCTTATTTACCCCGAAAGTGGCCTTCCACAATAGTATTCTTTATTTTATTCCATAGCACAATGTCACAGAGAGGTCGTTTCAGGGTTGGGCAGTGGCTTAGCGATGGCCTTTTGAACAGAGTCTCCTTTCCTGCTGTGTCTTACTCGACTTGTCTTCTGGTGGTTTCAAAATAGCTGCTATAGTTTTAGGCATCCTGTTCGAGGCAAACTACTTCTAAAGTCCAGGAAAAGAAGCTCATCCATCCCCATAGCCACCACTTGTCTGTCAGTTTGTTGTACTGAGGTGGTTTGTTGGATGCTGTAATGCTAGACGCTCTGTCACTAGTATTTCAAATACCAGCAGGGTCACCAAAAGTGAAGAGGTTTCAGCAGGGCTTCCAATTAAGAACAGACTGCAAAGAAGGTATTAGCCACTGAAAATCATACAGAGAACAGGAGAACATTGTCAGATACTGAAATTTTTATAAATAGCAGCACAACATTGCCAAAGATCATGCCAGATGACGAACCTCTCAGGGTGGCAGGCCCTCAAAATATGAATCTAGGAAAACTGGGAGTCATCAAAAATGAAGTGGAATACATAAAACATTCCTAAGTGTTAGTGAGCTGACATGGAGTGGTGTTGGCCATTTTGAATCAGAAAATCATATGGCTTCCCATGGTGGAAGTGGCACAATCAAGAGGAACGGCATCGCTTTCATCTTGAAAGATCTATCTTGATGCTGTCTGTGATGGGATGATATCTGTCTGTGATAGGATGATATCTGTCTGTGATAGGATGATATCTGTCTGTAATGTTATCTAGCTACCTGCAAGGAAATCCAGTCAATACACCTGTTATTCAAATTCATGCACCAACCACTAAAGCTAGTAATGCAGAAATTGAAGAGTTCTACCAATGTCTTTGGTCTGAAATTGATAAACCATGCAATCAAGATGCATTGATAATTATTGGTAATTGAAATGCAAAAGTTGGAAACAAAGAGTGAGGATTGGTAGTTGGTGACAGAAATGAAACTGGAGACAAAATGATAGAATTTTTCAAGATCAATGACTTCTTCATCACAAATACCTTTCCTCAACAACACAGACAGCGACTACACATGTGGACTTCTCCAGATGCTACATACAGAAATCAAATTGACTACATCTGTGGCTGGAGGTGACAGAGAAACTCAATATCAGTATTCAAAGCAGGCCAGGGCCTGACTGTGGAACAGACCATCAATTGGTCATATGTAAGTTCAAGAAATTATAAGTTTCTTGATCATATGTAAGTTCAAGTCCACGAGAGCCAAAATACAGCCTTAAGTATTTTGAAATTCAAGAACAGATATGACCGTGGACACTAGCGACAGAAGATTCGCTGAGCTGTGGGAGGACATCAATAACATCATACATGAAGAAAGCAGTAGGTCATTAAAAAGACAGGAAAGAAAGAAAAGATCAAAGAAGACATCAGAAGAGACTAAAACTTGCTCTTAATAGAGAAGCTAAAGCAAATGGAAGAAATGACGGAATTAAAGAGCTGAACAGAAAATTTCAAAGGGAGCTTGAGAAGACAAAGTAAAGTATTATCATGAAAGATGCAAAGACCATAGTGAACGATGGGGGGAGTGTGGAGTGGAGATCCAAAGCCCATTAGTAGGCCACTGGAGATCCCCTTGCAGAGGGGTCTCGGGGAGGAGAGGAGCCAGTCAGGGTGCGATGTAACAATGATGAGAAATACAACCTTTCTCTAGTTCCTAAAGGTTTCCTCCCCGCTCCCACTACCATGACTCGAATTCTATCTTGCAAGACTGGCTAGACCAGAGGAGGTACACTGGTACAGATAGGAACTGGAAATACAGGGAATCCAGGATGGATGAGCCCTATAGGACCAGTGGTGTGCGTGGCAAAACAGGGAGGGTAAAGGGAGAATGGGTAGGAAAGAGGGAACCGATTACATGGAACTGTGTGTGACCTCCTCCCTGGGGGACAGACAACCGAAAAGTGGATGAAGGGAGATGTCGGACAGGGCAAGATATGACAAAATACCCATTTATAAACTATCAAGGGCTCATGTGGGAGGGGGGAGCGGGGAGGGAGGGGGAAAATGAGGACCTAATGTCGGGGGTTTAAATGGAGAGAAAATGTTTTGAGAAATGATGTACAAATACGCTTTACACAATTGATGTGTGTATGGATTGGGATAACAGTTGTATGAGCCCCTAATAAAATGTTTAAAAAAAAAAAAGGAAAAAAAAAGAAAGATGCAAAGACCTAGATTTAGAAAACCAAAAAGAAGAACATGTTCAGCATATCTTAAACTGAAAAAACTATGGAAAAATAATCAAGGCTCTGCTTGCAATATTGAAAGATTCTTTGGGCAAAATATTAAGTGATGCAGAAACCATCAAAAGAAGATGGCATATGTATTGGCTCCCAAGTTACAGCAAATTTAAAAAAAAAGGATCAAAAACCATCTTCAGAGGATCTGGGCAGACTGAGTCACTGGCAAATCTGCTCTAGCCACAGGCAAGAGTCTCGAACAACCTGACTCTCAGGCAGAGACCATTGTAATCTTGGTTATGCTGGATTGACCTTGATACCTGGCCAGTTGATCATCCTGTAGACGTGACTTGAATTTCTTCTGGGTACAAGTATCTCTTAATGGTTCCATAGCAGAAATGTCTTCCCTGACTCTTTGAATGTGGTTGGGGGTCTTTTCCTCTTTAGGTGTTATTTGTAGTTTTGTCTGTATACTATTATGTTTTTATCCTGACCACCTTAGCGCGGTTTACTTTTTTATTGTTTTCTGTTGGGTCTCCCAGCTATGAAGCACAGGAGGAGTGGATGCATAATGATAATAACCGATCCAAGGGGTTAAGGGAAATACAGGGTTGGGGGGGCTGGGTGGTAGGGAGGGTAAGGGGATTTGGGGAGTAAATAAATGAATATGGGAGGGGGGAGGAAACACTAGAAGGGATTGTGATTGCATAACTCATCTTAGAGGCAATTTAACCACAGGAGGGGGGCATGTTCTAAAATTGAAGTGGGGGTGATGGTACAATTCTCCTTGATATGATTGAGTGATTGGATTGAACTATTGAATTATATGATATGTCAATTACTTGCCAATAAAACAGTTGGCAAAAAAGATGGAAATAATACACAAAATCACAGTACCCCAAAGAACTAGTAGATAGTCCACTATTTCATAAGGCAGCATGTGATCAAGAACCAATGGTAGGTCCGCTTCCGGCGTTGCAGTGGTAGAAGTCAGGAATGGCGGCGACTTGGTCCCGGGCCCGTGGGCGGCTGGTTCGGTCTTGACCACCGCTGGGGTGGCCGATGGCGAGCAGCGCTCACGGCAAGGAGGGCTCAGCGCGCATGTGGAAGGCCCTCACCTTCTTCGTCGCCCTCCCGGGGGTGGGAGTGAGCATGCTGAACGGCTTCCTGGAGTCGCAGCACGAGCACGAGAGACCCGAGTTCGTGCCCTACCCTCACCTCCGCTTCAGGTCCAAGCCTTTTCCCTGGGGAGATGGCAACCATACCCAGTTTCATCATCCTCATGTGAACCCGCTTCCAACTGGCTATGAAGAAGAATGACGAGAACATGGACCACGATTGGGGCCCACAGCACAGGATGGGACCATTATTTGCATGTGGACCAGAAAATGTGCGGGACCCGCAGCTCACCTTTTCTTGTATCAAATGATGACCAATACATTGAACTTCCATCTCTTTGCTTGTGGCGGGAGATGGCTTAAATAGATAACTTCGTCATGGACTGAAAAAAAAAAAAAAAAAAAGAACCAATGGTACTGAAGGAAGGAGTCTAAGCTGCACGGAGGGCATTAGCAAAAACCAAGGAATAGCCACTGGATATCAACAAGCTGATGAAGCCCTGGAAGCACTCACTCATCTCTGCCAAGAAGTTTGGAAGGCAGATCCTCGGCCAGCTTACTGGTAGAGATCGTCGGTTATGTGATTTACCCTAAACCATCTTTTCACTGGCGGAGTAGGAGCCCATCCTTTTAGTACTCGGAGTAGGAGCCCATCCTTTTAGTACCCGCTTCCAACTGGCCAATTAAAAATAGTCTTTGTGTTTGGTGTGTTAGAAATAGTTAGGCACTTCTCTTCTCTGAACAAATTGTGTTCATCTTTGAAAAAACCCTTTCCGCTTCTGCTGACGTAGAGCAATTTTTCTGACAATATTCTTAGCTCTTTGAACACTACTAGGAATTGCATAATTTACTCATCATATGGGAATTTGGGATGTAACGCAACACCGAACCAAATAATAGAATGCCTCCCTCTGGTTGTTCAGTGATTTTCCTCTTTATATGTCTGTTTACTGGAGTAACATCCAAGGGAATAAAAATGCAGTATTTCATCAAAAGTATAACAAGTTTTAGGAAATGAATAAATAAATATTACAAACATAGTTCCATCTAATTTTTATACCTATAGATGAAATGAGGAGTATTACAGGTGCTTATAAAACACTGTTGGGCAAATGAACGTTAAAAAAAAAGAAAAGGAATGTAAATTTGTGATTTCCACATGGGTCAGCTGCTCAGTTGCCCACCTTAGAGAGAATTCTGATTACAAATGCCATTGTAACAACTGGTCAGCTGAACTCAATAATGCTGAACTGGAGCAGACTGGTGGAATCCCATCACTGGGTTAGCGGCCCAACACGTAACCACTATGCATGCCTCCGGGCTTCTACTCTCTAGAACGTATGCTAAGCCCTGAACTGAACAATGGAAAGTTCTAGCCCTCTCTTCCCATTTAGGCCTAGAAATCTCCCCCTTTCTCTCCAACGGGTGAAAAAAGGGTGGGAGGTAACTTCTACAGCTGATTATTATTATTATTATTTGCTTCTTCTGAGTCAGCCCTTTCAGTTCAGCGACAGAATTCTGTTCTTAGATTTACCTCTCCCAGAATAATTGTAATTACACAGTGTATAGCGTTTTCATACCGATTTCTTTTACTTAGTAGTAAGCATTTAAATAGTAAGCTTTTTTTTTTTCTGGTTTGAGAATTCATTTCTTTTTCTTAAAAAAAAATCAATCAATTTATCTTTAACAGCTTCATAGGCATACAACTCACACATTACACAATTCAACAGCTCAATCACACTAAAAAGAATTGTACAATCACCACAGTCAGTTCTAAAATACTTGCCTCCTTCCTGTATTCACTGCTACTAGTTCCCCATTTCCCTCCACCTCCCCCCAAACACCTCCCAAGAAACCACCAGTGCAGTCATTGTCTCTATTGCTCCCCTCTTCTGCACGTCATACCCAGACAAATGAACCAACAAAACCAACACCCCTTCACTCTCCCCACAATAAAACTAAAGTAAAAGAGAGAAAAGCCTTAACTGAGAGGAAAACAGAAAACACCAAAAACTAAAGCAAATTTAAAATGTGTCAAAAGGGGAGCTCCCGTGCCAGTGTCAACCTTTGACCCAACTGCGTCTGCAGTAATCCACTTTCCACTGCACTCTGCACGATAGCAAGGCCGTTCTCACTCCTGGTCCATGGCCGGAGGGGATTCACCCAAGGCTCAGTCCATATGTGGTTCTCCAAATGGACCTTGGGCGTCCACTGTTACTCATAGATCCTGTTACCATTCCCTTACTCAGCCCTCTCGTTTACAAACCTTGGGACACACAGGCTGGTGTGCTTCTGTGTGGACTCAGTTGATGCTTCACTTAGGTGGCTACTTGTTTGAAGACAAGCCTTTGAGACCTTAGATGTCACTGTTCTCGATAGCGGGGCACCATCTAGTTTCTTTGCCACAAGCCACCATAGCACCCATATCTTCAGTGAGCTCCTCAAGAGGGCAAGCATCAAGCAGGGCCACGTCACAGGAAGGTTCCTTGACTGGGGGATCGTTCATTTCTTTTTACCACTGACTACTATTCTGTGATGTGTATGCACTTCAGCTTATTTTTCACCTTTTGAAAGGTACCTTGGTTGCTTCCAATTTGGGCAGTTTTGAGTAACCGCTATAAACATTTTATGCAACGTTTTATGTAGACATACATGTACATTTTCCTATCATTTGGGTAAATACCTAGGAGTGTGACTGCTAGACTATATGGTAAGACTATATTTAGCTTTGTAAGAAATTGCCAGGCTTTCTTCTGAAATGATTGTATTGTAGCTGGAAAGGGTTTTAGTGATCAACTACTTCAACTGCTTTTACTTGGCATGAGTACAATTCAGTGGTATTTAGTACATTTTCATGTTGTACAAACTCTATCTAGTCCCAGATTTTTTCATCACTCCAAAAGGCAATTCCATACCTGCTAAGAAATCACTTCTCTCCCTACCTCATCCTATCCTCTGTGACCAATCTGCATTGTGTCTTTAGGGCTGTGCCTATTCTGCATACTTCATATAAGGGGGAAATATAATATGTTTATAACTTTTGGCATGTGGCTTCTTCTGCATAATTTTTCCAGATTTATCCATGTTCTACTGTCTCAGTATATCAAGGGAAAGAATCATTTTATTGTTTGAAAAATCACTAATTTTCTCCGATTCTCAAAATCATATTTGAAAATTAGAAATATTCAAGCATTATAGAAAGATATAATAAAGAAAATAAAACCTATTCTGTTATTGATGAAGACTGTTAACAGTAAGTGAGAGCTGCTGTTCCCTTAAGTTGGATCCAAGCTAAATTTATTTTCCACAGAGTTGGTTCTACCTCATGGGGACCCTAGGTCACAGGGTAAAACAATCTCAGAATTTTCTAGGAGGTTTCCTGTGACCCCAGCTAATAGAGTCGACCTGCCCCGCAGGATTTTCTAGGTTATAGTCTTAACTGGAAGAGATTGAAAGATCTTTCTCCCATGGAGCCGCTGGGTGGGTTCAACTGCCAACCAAGGCTCTTGGGTAGAACTTTAAAAAATTTAAATAAGTAGGATCAATCATATCTTACCCATTGCCTTCAGGTTGAGCCCAACTCATATCAGCCCTATAGGAAAGATTAGAACTACCCCTTGGGGTTTCTGAGGCTATAAATCTTATAGGGGAACAGAAAACCTCATCTTTCTCTCTCAGAGTGGCTGGTGAATTCAATCTGTTGACGTTGCCATTAGCAGTTCCACATGTAACCGTCCACACCACCAAGAGCATTAAGGCTCCAATCATGAACACTCAATGAGATTGAAAGACTAGAGGGCTTGAACTTATACCTCTCTCACTAAGACTTTCAGTATAGGTGAGGATAATCGAAGGGTACAGCATGTCCCGGGGGACATTGGGAGCCTTACAGCGGACCTTACCTGATGTGTTTCTTCACTGTGTTTTTTATGGTTATAATAAATGAGTCCACCACTTGTCTCAGTTTGTCGTGCTGTGGTGGCTTGTGTGTTGCTGTGATGGTGGAAGCTATGTCATTGGTATTTCACATACCAGTTGGGTTTCCAAAAGTGAACTGTTTTCAGTAGATTTTCCAGACTAAGAACAGACTACACAGAAGGGGTAGGCTCTCCCCTTCAGAGGAATTGGCCACCGAAAACCCGATGGATAGCATCAAAGTGTTGGCAGTTACTAAAAACCTCATGAACAGAAGCACTTCCTTGTTCTCAGGAATTCCCATTCTTCTCAAGGCTGTCCATAGTTTGTTATGATCCACACAGCCTGATGCCTTGACATTGTCAATAAAACACATATAAACATCTTTTTGGTGCTCTCTGCTTTCAGCCAAGATCCATCTGACGTCAGCAATGATATACCATATAGACTCGTGTATAAGCCGAGTTTTTTGGCACATTTAAAAAAAATCATTTTATTGGGGGCTCGTACAATTCCTATCACAATCCATCCATCCATCCATTGTGTCAAGCACATATGTACATTTATTGCCATCATCATTCTCAAAACATTTGCTTTCTACTTGAGCCCTTAATATCGGCTGCTCATTTTCCCCCTCCCTCCCCCTTCTCCCCTCCCTCATGACCCCTCCACAATTCATAAATTATTATTATTTTGTCATATGTTACACTGTCTGATGACTCCCCCACCCTTTCTCTGCTGTCCATCCCCCAGGGAGGAGGCTATACGTAGATTCTTGTAGTTGGTTCCCTGTCTCCACCCCACATTCCCTCTACCCTCCAGGTATCGCCACTCTCACCACTGGTCCTGAAGGGGTCATCTGTCCTGGATTCCCTGTGTTTCCAGTTGCTATCTGTACCAATGTACATCCTCTGGTCTAGCCAGATTTGTAAGGTAGAGTTGGGATCATGATAGTGGGGTGGGGGTGGGGGCATTTAAGAACTAGAGGAAAGTTATGTTTCATCATTTCAGCACATTTTTTAAATGCAGTTTCTGTGGTGAAATTAGGGGCCTCGGCTGATATTCAGGTCGGCTTATACTCAAGTATATATGGTACCTTGTTCTACATCCTCTTCTGAATCTGGTCTCAACCTCTGGCAACTCCCTGCAAATGTATTGCTGCAACTATTGTTGGATAATCTGTTGCTTTGAGCCCTGGTAGTGTAGTGGCTATGCTTTGATCTGCTAACTGCAAGGTCAGCAGTTCTTAACCACCAACTGCTCCGTGGGAGAGAGATGGGGCTTTCTATCCCCATAAGGAGTTAGTCTCAGAAACCCACAGAGACAGTTTTACTCTGTCCTGTAGGGTTTGTATGATTCAGCATCACTTGAGAGCAGTGAGTTCACTGTGCTCATGAGGAACCTGTACATGGATCAAGAGGCAGTTGTTTGATCACAACAAGGGAATACTGTACGATTGAAGATCAGG